GGACTCCAGGATCATGACCTGAGCCGAAGGCAGTCGCTTAACCAACTGAGCCACCCAGGCGCCCCATTCACAGTCTCTTAAAGCATTTTTATTTCCATTAATCTCACTGAGTCCTTATACTAATCCTGTGAAAAAAGTGGGGCAGGGATTTTATCCTCCTTCTATACAGAAGGGTGCTGACTCACGGCCATGCAACTGCTAAGCAGTGGACCCAGGACTTGACTTTGAGGTTCCATGTCCAAAACCTGGGTTCTTTCCACTTCACTATCAATTATCCTGGACTATGTGAAGAATAAAAGAATTCTGAAGCTAAAAATCTACGTGAAAAAAAATTGGAATTTTCGTCAGTTTGTTCCCCATGGCTTCCTCTGCTGACCAAAAATAAAATAAAATTACAACCATGGATAGACATTACTTATTCTGCTAGACCATTATTGCATTGTCATCTTTCCTATGAAACCAAATGGATACCATCTAATGGAGAGACCGACCCTCCCTCCCTCCCTCCCTCTCTCTTTCTTTTTTTTTTTTTAAAGACTTTATTCATTTATTTGACAGAGAGAGAGAGAGAACAAGTAGGCACACAAGCAGGGGGAGGGGAGGAGAGGGAGAAGCAGGCTCCCCACTGAGCAAGGAGCCCAATGTGGGACTTGATCCCAGGATCCCGGGATTATGACCTGAGCAGAAGGCAGACGCCCAACCAACTGAGCCACCTAGGTGTCCCTCCTCCAATATTTCTTTGAAAATAAAAATGCTGAAGGCTTCTGCTAATAATATCTGTTATCAGTACTTGAAAGTGACACTGAGATCATTCTTTGAGAATTAAACTTTACAATCCACACAAAGTGGATCAGGATATGGATCTGCTAAGTCTCTTTAAAGAAAGAGTAGTGGTGCGCATGGCTGACTCACTTGGTGGAGCATGCGACTCTTGATCTCGGGGTTTTGAGTTCAAGCCCCACATTAGGTGTAGAGATTACATAAAAAAATAAAATCTTAGGGGCACCTGAGTGGTGCAGTCGGGTGAGCAACCATCTCTTGGTTTCAGCTCAGGTCCTGATCTCGAGGTCGTGGGACTGAGCCCCGACTTGGGCTCCGCACTTAGCAGGGAGTGTACTTAAGACTTTCTCTCCCTCTCTCTCTACCCCTCCCCCTGGCTCTCTCTCTCTCAAATAAATAAATAAATCCCGGATTGCTGGGTAGCTCAGTTAGTTAGGTGTCCAACTCTTGGTTTCAGCTGAGATCATGATCTCAGCATCAAGGGATTGAGCCCCCATCTGGCTCCTCACTCAGCATGGGGTCTGCTTGAGAGTCTCTCCCTTTCCCTTTCCCTGCTTGTTCTTTCTCCAAAATAAATGAATAAAATCTTTTAAAAAATTAAAAAATTAAAATAAATAAATCTTTAAAAAAAATTTTATTTATTTGACAGAAAGCATAAGCTGGGCGGAGGCGCAGCAGGAGAGGAGAAGCAGGGCTCAATCCCAGGACCCCAGGATCACAACCTGAGCCGAAGGCAGACACTTAACTTGACTGAGCCACCCAGGTGTCCCTAAATGTGCATGTATTTATATTTTATATAATATTAATGTAATAGCAACAACAATCATTTAGTGACTAAAAGGTATAGTAAAAATGTGTGGCATAGGGGTGCCTGGGTGGCTCAGTCGTTAAGCGTCTGCCTTCGGCTCAGGTCATGATCCCAGGGTCCTGGGATCAAGCCTTCCATCGGGCTCCCTGCTTGGCAGGAAGCCTGCTTCTCCCTCTCCCACTCCCCCTGCTTGTGGTTCCCTCTCTCGATGTGTCTCTCTCTGTCAAATAAATAAATAAAATCTTTTAAAAAAAATGTGTGGCATAAAGCAACATTGTACAAAGCATTCCATGTACATTATGTCATTGAACTTTTATATTTCTCAAGACTTTATCCATCAAAAGGGGAGGTTAGTCAATTATGCAAGTATAGGAAATCGGGTCAGAAGCAAACCCGGCTCTGCCCATCCCAGTCTTTCAGGAGAGAGGTGGTGTCCAGAGTTTACAGCTCCATTGGCAAGCTTATCTTTGTTGGGGTAGTGGTGTGCAGCAGACCTAGGTGGTCTGGTGCCATTCAATACCAGGTTCCCTAATTCCCCACGCTCCGATCCCATACCCCCTAAGCAATCTTCTGATTATGATTCAGCCTCCATTAGGCCTGCTACAGAAGCTGTTCTGGCAATGCAGAATTGTGAATATTCTTGTTACTGTGATAATTACTTCTCACCCTTAATGAATAAACTAATATTCTAATTGTATTATCAATAATTAAAATACAAAAACAGGAATGCCAAACTCTCAAAGTAATATAATCTGTTGTGTGTGGGGTTTTTGAGGCAAGATATACATAAAATTTACCATTTTAACCATTTTTTAGTATACAGTTCGGTGGCATTCAGCACATTACCACTATCCATTTCCAAAACGTTTTCATCATCTCAAATTAAAACTCTGTACACATTAAATAAGTCCCCATTTCCCCTCCCACAGCCCCTTGTCACCACCATTCTACTTTCTGTCTCTATCAATTTGCGTTGTGATGGTTTTAAAACATGTCTGCAAATTCCGTTACATGCCTCCCATCAAGAAGTGCAGCCTAGGGACGTCTGGGTGGCTCAGTGGTTAAGCGTCTGACTTCAGCCAGGTCATGATCCCAGGGTCCTGGGATCGAGCCCCACATCGGGCTCCCTGCTCAGTGGGAAGCCTGTTTCTCCCTCTCCCACTCCCCCTGCTTGTGTTCCTGCTCTCGCTATCTCTCTCTCTGTCAAATAAATAAATAAAAAATCTTTAAAAAAAAAAAAAAAGAAGAAGAAGTGGAGCCTATGTTCCTTCCCCTTGAACCCGGCCATATCTTTGTGATAGCCTCAAAGAATAGAATTTAGGGGGTGCCTGGGTGATTCAGTTGGTAAAGCATCTGCTCTTGATTTTGGCTCGTCATGATCTCAGGGTCTTGAGATCGAGCCCTGCATTGTTGGCTCCAAGCTCAGCGGGGAGTCTGCTGCTCTCCTTCCCCCTCTCCCGCGCCCCTCCCCTGCTTGCAAGCCCCGCCCAAATAAATAAATAAATAAATAAATAAATCCATCCATACATAAATCTATCTTTAGGAAAAAAAATAGAATTCAGTAGGAATGATGCTGTGTGACTTCAGACACTACATTGGTAAAGGCCGTGCAATTTCTGCCAGGTAGTTATGGGACACACACATCCTGGGAGCCTTCAGCTACCATGTAAGAAGTCCACCTATCCTGGGACTACACAGGATGAGACCATGTTGAGAGACTGCAGAGAGAGGGAGACCTGTGGAGTCCCAGGTTGTTCTTTTTTTTTTTAAGATTCATTTATTTTAGAGAGAGAGAGAGAGCACGAGCAGGAGGGGCAGAGGGAGAGGGAGCAAGAATCTCAAGCAGACTCCTCACTGAGCCTGACTCGGGGCTCAATCTCACAACCCTGAGATCACAACCTGAGCCAGAACCAAGATTTTGACACTTAACTGACTGTGCCACCCAGGCGCCCCTGGAATCCCAGCATTTTGAGAGTTTCTAGCCCCAATATCAGACTTGGACATGATGAAACTCTGTTATGGGTCGAATTGTGTCCCTCAAAAAAGACATGTTTAAGTCCTAACCCCCAGTACCTCAGAATATACTGGAAATAGGGTTATTGCAGATACGATTAATTAAGATGAGGTCGTACAGGAGTAGGGTGGGCCCTTAATCCTGTATGACTGGCATCCCACGAGAGGAGAAGAGACAGAGAGAGGGACACACACAAGGGAGAAGGCCACGTGGAGACCGAGGCATAGACAGAGTGATGCAACTATACACAGGGAATGCCAAGGATTGCTAGCCACCCCAGCAGCTAGGAAAAGGTGAGGAAGGATTCTTCACAGAAGCATTGGAGGGATCACGGCCCTCCTGATACCTTGATTTTAGGTTTTTGGCCTCCAGAAATGTGAGAGAATAAATTTTGTTGTTTTAAGCTACCCAGTTTGTGGCACTTTGTTACAGTAGCCCTAGGAGACTAATACATCTTCCTTCAAAACAATCTCAGCCCTAGGTACCACCTGACTTTAATTACATGAGAGACCCTCAGCAAAACTGCCTAGCTAAGCCCAGTCAACCCCCAGACATATGAACAAAATAAACAATTGTTACTGTTTTAAGCCATTGTTATCATTTTAAGTTTGTTATCTAATAATAGATAATTGGAATATCTGTCCTCTGTTATTAAAACCAGCAATATGAACCAGAAGTATGTTACTTATTCCACCAAGATTACCAGCACATCCCCAAGCTGTATCTTCCTGTCACCGGGAAGGAAGCCTTTCAGTAATTACTCATGGGCTGATCTATACTGAATCCCTTAATTTCTTCTGCCTCATTCAGTTGGCCTGATTATCTTTGTACTCACAAGATTGTTCACTTTCTTTTGAGCACATTGTAACCGGTGCAGAAGGGGGCTTATTCATTTCCCAAGTGATGATGTTAGCAATGTTAGCAAGTATCTCTCAGAAAAACCCAAGCTTGAATTTAGTGTCTGGTAAGTAGAAAAATGGAATACAAAATTATATGTACATTATGATTATAATTTTTTTGGGGGGGAGGGGCGCCTGGGTGGCTCAGTCGGTTAAGCGTCTGCCTTCGGCTCAGGTCATAATCTCAGGGTCCTGGGATCGAGTCCCGCATCGGGCTCCCTGCTCGGCGGAGAGCCTGCTTCTCCCTCCCCCTTTGCCTGCCTCTCTGCCTACTTGTGCTCTCTATATCTCTCTCAAATAAATAAATAAAATCTTAAAAAAAAAAAAAAATAATAATAATAATTGTTTTGGGGGGAATGGATAAATAGGCTAAAAACTGGAAGAGAAACACCATTATTTAAATGGTGGAGACATAATAGCTACATTTACAAAACTCTTACTTTGTGCCAGGCCCCGAGCCAGTCACCTGACAAATATAACCCATAATTCTCACGATCACCCTGTAAGGATGATATTATGATCTCTACTTTACAAATGAGAAAACAGGCTCTAAGAGAAAGTAAGGAGGAAGGACAAGGTGATACAGATAGAAAGTGGCAAACCCAATGCCTGGGCTTATTCTCCTGACCATGGATGGATTTCTCTTCTCTGTGTGATGCTAATTGAATGAATACATCTATCCCGGAGCCCAAAAGTCTAATCCTGACATGAAAGTTCCTCTGCCTACATGTTCCTGGTGGTCCTGAAGGAGCAACAGTGTGGATGCCTCAGGGAGAAACGAGACAACATACCTAGATGCAGCTGGACATCTTTCACCTCCAGGGTGCTGGACTTGCGATGCCGAGCAAGCTGGCAGGCCGCTGTCACCACACTCTCAATAAAATCATCAGCAATCTGCAGCAGCATCTGGGAGACAAGAGTGGGGGAGAGTAACCATGACATTGGCAGAACAGGCTCCTGTTGCTGGGACAACTGTGTCTGCTTGAATCACATATTTAGTTAGGCTTGCTATTAGAAGGCCTGGAAGCAGCATTTGGACTATGGTGAAGATGAGGAGGAGTGAGGACAGCACTAGAAACACATCAACTCATTAAGCAGGTTGAGTGCAACTCACACGTTTCTGAGGACGTTATTCTCTGTACCTTCTACCTAGAGGGATCAACCAGCCCAATCCCTCACCCTCATATTTTCTTCAGAATTAAATGGGAAAACAAAAGTGAATCATTATACTTCCTCATTCACAGTCTCTCTCTTTTTTTTTTTTTTTTTTA